GCGGCGCCTTCTCTCTCCCAAACTCGAAGGTAAGCTTCCTCCAAATTCTCCTCTTCAGATCAATCAATCTCCCTCTCGTTTCGTTTCTTCACTCAAAAGCTTTCTCCTTTTTCCAAGTTTTGATTCGATCTCATAGCTCAGAGATTTGAATGACCTAATTCTCTCCGTTCTCTTCCAAACCCTAACCCAGATTACTCTGTTCTGTGATTTAATCGTATACAGTCGACATCTACTACCTTCTTCGAATTGGATCTCTGTGACGTAGAAACCTTAATTTCGTGGGCTTTTGTGCAGTCTCAAAAGCTTGCACACTCTCAAATTCGAACGAAAGGTTCCGTCTGGAAATTAGGGTTTCTTAGTTTTTCATGGTGGAATATATTTTTCCGGCTGATTTGAAGACTTTCCGTTAGTTTTAATCGGGAGAAGTGGAAAAAAGCATCAATTGAGAGCAACAAAGGCGTGAAATTAGGGTTTTTGAAGTTATATGTATGGCTTCGGAGCCTGTTATTGGAGAAGGAATCGATGGTGCAAGAGAGAAGCAGAGCATTAAAGTTTATACGAGGAAAGGTAAAGGTCAGAGAAAACAGATACCACTCTTTGCCCTTGAGGTTAGTGGTGCCACTGATAATCTCGAGAAACTAGAGAAGAAATTAGAAAACGAGGAAGAAAACAATTTTGTGAATCCTCCTGAAACCTTAGCTCTAGAGTCTGTGGATGCTACTGACGTGGTGAAGAATTCTGTCGAAGAAGCTGCTCCTGAGACCAATTCCCAGGAAGATGTTGGGGTCGGTAATGCGAATAACTCAACCGAAACACTTTCGGAAAAAGTGATTGACAAGCCTCTTGTGGAAGCAGTTTCTCTAGGTGAACCTCCGAATGATGTCAGTTTGGCTGCTACTGATAAAAACATTATTCAGCCTCTACCAGCTCCTTTGGGTGAGGAGGATGTGAACATTGTTGTTGGCGAGAAGTCGGTTGAAGTACCTTCTCAAGGCCACAAGATTCAAGATGATGTCAATACAGTGGTTGTTGATGAGAACTCTATTAAGGAACCTCCTAAAACCTCTGACCAAGAAGATGTCTCTCCCATGATTGTTGACAAGAACCCTATTGAAGTACCTTCTCAAACGCTATCTGCTGAGGATGTCAATACTGTTGTTGTTGACAAGAATCCCATTGAAGTGTCCTCCGAGGATGATGTCCACGTGGTAGATGCAGATAACTTAGTAAAAAAAGCGCAACCTGAAAACCTTGTTGAGAAAGATGCCACTGATGCTCAACAGCCAACAGGGCTTCCTTCTGATTCTGCTCAGAACATCCATGCTACTGCTGCTGAAAGCGTTCCAATGGAAGAGGACGTAGATGGACGTATTAAAATACATGTAGCCTCCTCATCGAAGCAACAGAAAGAGGAGATCAGGAAGAAGCTTGAAGATCAGCTTAACTTGGTCAGAGGTCTGGTTAAGAGGATAGAGGATAAAGAGGGCGAGATTGGTGCATATAATGATTCTCGTGTTCCGGTTAACACTGGTATTAACAATGGTGGAGGAAGGATTCTCTCAGGGTTTGCCTCAGCTGGACTTCCCCGTGAGGCCATCAGAGCACCAAGGCCATTGAATCAACTAAGTATCTCAGTTTTGGAGAATACTCTTGGAGCCAATGAGCCTGTGGAGAAAGAGAAAAGAACACCCAAGGCGAATCAGTTTTATAGAACTTCAGAGTTTTTACTTGGTGACAAGTTGCCACCCGCAGAGAGTAACAAGAAATCAAAATCCAGTGCAAAGAAGCACGGAGGGGAGCATGGTTTTGGTGCAGGCTCTAAAGTTTTCAAGAATTGTAGCGCTCTACTTGAAAGGCTGATGAAGCACAAGCATGGTTGGGTGTTCAATGCTCCTGTTGATGTGAAAGGTCTAGGTTTGCATGATTACTTCACCATTATCGAGCACCCTATGGATTTGGGAACTGTCAAGTCTGGGTTAACAAAGAATTTGTACAAGTCACCAAGAGAATTTGCAGAGGATGTTAGACTTACTTTTCACAATGCCATGACTTACAACCCACAAGGACAAGATGTCCATCTAATGGCGGAACAGTTATTACAGATCTTTGAGGAGAGATGGGCTGTCATAGAGGCAGATTATAATCGTGAAATGAGATTTGTCACTGGTTATGAGATGAATCTTCCAACTCCTACGATGAGGTCCAGACTGGGTCCCTTAATGCCGCCACCACCTATTAATGTGAGGAATACGATAGATAGAGCAGACTGGAGTAATCGCCATGGTGACCTGCAGCATCCAAAACCGACCACAACACCCGGCAGAACACCGACCAGTACAACACCTTCTGGAAGGACACCTGCTCTGAAAAAGCCAAAAGCAAACGAACCAAATAAAAGAGATATGACGTATGAGGAGAAGCAGAAGCTTAGTGCCCATTTGCAGAATTTACCTCCAGATAAACTGGATGCGATTGTACAAATTGTTAACAAGAGGAATACTGCTGTGAAGCTACGGGATGAAGAAATTGAAGTTGATATTGATAGTGTTGATCCTGAGACCCTGTGGGAGTTGGACAGATTTGTAACCAACTACAAGAAGGGCCTGAGCAAGAAAAAGAGGAAGGCTGAGCTAGCTATTCAAGCTAGAGCAGAAGCCGAGAGGAATAGTCAACAACAGATGGTACTTGTACCTCTCCTCAGAATCCTAA